GTTGACTGGCATAACCTTGAGGCAGGTATGCGTGAATTCGAAATGGAATATAGAGACAAGAACTATTCTATCACCTGATTGGATGACAAGCACGCTCGAGAGAGAAGCCAAGACAACTTGAATACCACGTGATTTATTCCCAATTCCGATCTGGTACCCAAATTCAGATTAGTGTAAGAAGATGTACGAATAAATAGATGACTAACTTGACTACAACCCATCAATAATTAGGAAACTACAATTATGTCCAAAACTGGGGGTCACGTTTAAATTACAATAGCTTTGGAACAGAAAAGGCTATGGCAGTGAATCATATATCAAACGAAAGCTTATGATTTTTAGAATCAACTAGGGACAAAAGTAAATGTTACAGTTTTATAAGCTTTGAATTAAATGAAATAACGTCCCCCTCCCAAATAAGTTTCCATAGTTTGTTACGGCTTCTTGTTTCGCTGTTCACACCCTTCTTCTAAATGTGTTAAGTCGATAGAATATGTACAAAGACGAATGTTATACTAAAATCAATCATTATGAAATCAACTAGGAGCTGTAAAATTCTATATACCAAGTTTTTATTTATCCCTTACTTGTTTCAATATTTACTTATTTCTATTTGATTTTTGTTATTCCTCTTTCATTTCATTATACTTGCTATTAGTAAGGTATGACCTCACCGACTTTAATGTTTGGTCACCTTATTCATGCTACTTGTCAACATATGTTTATCAAGTAAACAATTGAGGTTATTGTCATTAATAAAGAAAAGTAGAAGGACTATCAACTGTCCACACTAATTTGAACCTAATAATAATAATAATAGGTTAGTTGGATAGAACTAGAAAGGAAGGCCCAGGACAGAGTGGGTTGTGGAATGCTAGTCGGCAGCTTATGCTCCATTGTGGGTAACAGGCTTAAGTAAGTAAGTAATTAAGTGAGTAATAATAGGTTAGAGTTTGTCGAGGTCAATTTAGACTGGCTTTAAGATCAATCGTAAATTCTGGTCACGTAAGAAAGCCTTACAATCTTAGTGTTTAAATTATAATAATACCTATGTTCATTAGCTTCATGCTACCTTGAAACGGTTTTATAGAATGTATAAACTGTGACAAGGACTAAAATCTAGAATCCCTGTTTCGTTCTGGGGGGGGCTCGTCAGTTGCATGCAAATTAGCTGAAGTGTTGTTCTTCAAACAAAGATTCAAGCCCAGTATTTATTACCCCTCATATTCAAAATCAGATATCTATAATAGTTACATAACAGAGTATTTTATGAAATAAATAAATTCAAAATACTATACATACTACTAACAAGTAATATTGAGTGTTATCACTAACTGGTCGCTGATTGATAGTCAATATCATGAGATGGTGGAGAAAAACTGTAGCTCAGATGAATGTATCTCCGATCAATGAGAGACACAATCAGAATAAAGAAGTAGACAATGTGTTGGTGGGACATAGATTGGATTAAATCATGTTTTATGCATGATGGTGTTGCTGTGCGATGATTGGCTAATTCTAAACTGTTCACTTACTATTATTATTTTGAATACAATTTCATTCCTGTTCAACGTGTTCTGATTTGTCAAGAGTCATTGTATAATAATTTTAAGCAATAGGAATAGCTGGGTCGTTTATGTAGCAAAATACAATTATAACACAATGGAAGGTTAAAGACCAATAATAATCACTCGAGATCGAGGTTGACAGTACAATCTGTGAGTCATATGTAGAAAAATTTAAACACTTCACTTTCATCTGAAGTTTGTGCTGATGACGTTGTTTAGAAGAACAATGAAAGTTCCACGGCCAAACCATCCATCTCAGAAAACAAAACTTTTCCTAGGTCAATATTCTGTTTAACCAGTAGCGAAAGCTGATCCTGTGACGATCTCTACTCTCAATGATTCGATATCTCATGCAACATATTTATTTTTCAAGCGATTGGATATATTCAAAAGAAATCCATACTTCATCCGCACTCTTTTTATAATTAACACTTATTTAATCATGGAATCTTGTATAAGATAATGCTTGCTGAGGGATTCGAACCAGAATCGTCTGAATGAAAACTATAAGAAATTGCGGCAAACACCTCAATAATTCTCTAATTTACCAAGTTCTTATCTATTTCTTTAGACATAGATTAGCTATTTTTAGACTATGACACTCTATAGAATCCCAAAAATCAGATATATTTAAGAGAAATAAAGTAATTTTAATGGTTGAAATCATCAGTCAATTGAAGTTAGACTACCATGGAAAACCTGGAACCACTGGACGACCGCCTCGTCCTATTGTGGGACTCCTCAGCAGTGCTCATCCACGATCCTGCCTCTCCAGATTCAACCCAGGACCTACCAGTCTCGCGAGCGAGCGCTCAACCTCTAGAACACTGAGCCCGCTGGCATCCAAAGGTGTTAATGTCTAACTTCAACCAATTCACGAAATTGAGTGACACATCCATCATTATCCTCAGTGACTTACTATCTCACAACAGACTTGGTTGAACTCCACTAGTCACTGTTTCTCACTAGAACTCCAAGAAATACCTTTTGAAGCCAGTCACTAATGAGCATATTTTGAATTACATCAGAAGGGTTTTCCATGGTGTTCTAGCTTCAATTGACTCATGATCTCAACTATTAAAAATAAAGTACTCAAACAGATTGTCATAATTAGTCGATAATTTTTTTCTAAATTTCAAATACAAGACAATTTCAACGATGAGAATAAAATAAGAACAAATGAAAGAAGAATCATAACTATAGACTTGATATTGGGGGGTCTGTTTGAATATCTGGGCTACCTGTTCATGCTATCTAGATATTTCAAAAAATTATTTATATTTTGTTTGTTTTAACACATTGTTATGCCTATTAGTAGTCGAACGTTAGGAAATACATTCCCATGGTAGTCGGTGACCGATAATCAGCTCATACACCATTTGTTCCTTCAGGATCCTGGAAGCCATGTGTACCATTGAGTTGGAATCAGGGTTTTCCAAATCTTCTAGGTAGATCTTCCATGTTTACTAATCCTGTTAAAGCGTAGGACATTCACTTTTCATCCACTCAATTTCGTAACCAATACCCTCGCCTCGAGAAGGCAGTGAGTAGGACTTCCCTATCATTGGCCGGGAGGGGGAGCTGATTATACAAAGTTTAAATCCATTCGCTGTACAAGTTATAATAAAGTATAATCAGATACATCGGGATGGCGGCAAGACTATAATTTATGGACGATCTTCGAGCGACGCTAAAGTGACTTTGAGAATGTCCACCTAATAACTAGAACTAAATGAAGATTATAGAGCAGTATGAAGAATAAGGATTATGATTTACAGTTGATGGTTAAGGTTGGATATTAGTATCATGGTTTTCATCATGATACTAACATCAGCTAAAATACCAAAACGTTATTTCGCCCAATGAATGAATGAATTTCATGCCAAAATCTAAGATCTATTATCTTAAATCTAATTGATTCATTCATAAATTATAGTCTCGCCCGATAGTTTTCATAATTCACTGAATCAATACTAATGCCAATACTACTAATAATGATAATAGTAGTAGTAATAATAATAATAATAAAACGATATAAAATATACACCATGTTCTTTCTCCTTTTCTATTCGCTTATATATGAATTATTTATCAGATATCTTAGAAAACATTCATGTACTTTCATGCATGATAAAACTTCTAATCAGAAATGAAATAGTAGTTTTGATGTTTGAATGGGTTGACTACTGAATATAATGTGAATAATTCATGTTCGAAACAAAATGGAACAAAGTTGCAAGCGTGAGTCAATTGAAGCTAGACCACCAAGGAAAACCTGGAAGTACTGGATAGCCGTTTCGTCCCATTGTGAGACTGCTCAGCAGTGCGCATCCACGATCCCATCTCGCGAGATTCGAACCCAGGATCTATCAGTATCGCGCCAAAGCACTCAACCGATAGATCACTGAGCCGACATCCGATGGTGTTTATGTCTAACTCCAACTAATCCACGAAGTTGAGCGACCGTTCATCAATGGTCTCCAGTGAGTTACTATCTCACAATAGACCTGACTGAATTCCACTGGTCACTGCTTCTCACTAGAACTCTAGGATTTACCTCTCGAAGTCAGTCACTAATGAGTATATGATGGAACATAGATGTGTTTAACTTAAGTTTCTGGCATTCTCAATTGATATTTCATGTGAGATTAGAAATTAGGTCCCTTTTTGATATATAAAGGGATATAATTCAGGTAGCGACTAACCTATAGTGAGATTACAAAATTGTATGAACTTACAAGAAAGGATCTTTACCGGCTAAGGACGCGACTATAGTGTTATAAATTTCTTTTAAATGATGTTCTTTGCCCCCATATGCCCTTGTGCGGCCGAGAGAGTTCTCACACGGCCCCGCGTATACAGCTTCTGCCAGACTCGAGCAAATGGCTATCAGAACTCAGTAGCTGAGTGGATAACGCGACGACGTTTGAAGCGAACGGTACTGGGTTCTAGTCCCAGAGTGAATGAACATCAACTCTGAGATGCAGGTACGTCCAGTTGACGAGTCCCAAATAGGATGAAACGCGCGTCAAACTGGATTCCACCGCTAACCACTATCCATCTTTGCTTACCATGCTTGTGAATTAAGGCTATATCGAGACAATATGCACAGTATGCACATATGGCCAATAAGAGACTAACCAGTTGCATTCCTAAGCATCAATGGGAAGATTCAAACAAACAATACTAAGTAAATTTAAGATTAGCTATGTAAAATTTCTTCTTCTAACTACCCTCACGAGTCTGTTATACAGAACATCATTGATTATATCACTGTCGAATGATAGTTTTGAGATGTTACTATCCTACTGTAGGCTACTACTATAAAGATAGATTTAATGAACACTATACAACACATTCAAGAAGAAGTAAACCGAACAAAAAGGCAGATAACATAGTAATGTAACATAATAAATATTCATCATAACTTACCATCATCATCGATAATATGATTACGATCTTCATGTACGAAATTAATTAAACTATCTTCATCATCTTTAATCATCCATTGAACTTTAGCAGTTGGTATACTTTTTGTTGTGGAACAATTTAAAATTTTTGTTTCATTTGGTTTTATATAAATGAATTTAGGATTAAGATCATGGAATGTGCCAATTCCTGTGAAGAGATTTTTTTTGAAAATAAACGCTTTATGAAGATTGTCGATACTTTAATAGTGAAATTCAAGAGTTGAACGCCTTTGAAAACCTGGAAGTCGTGGATGGACGTTTGATCCTAGTATGGAGCTCCTGAGTAGTGCGCATCCACGATTTCACACGTGGGACTCGGACCCAGGACCGTAGGTTTTTCAAGCGAACGTTTAACCTCTAGACCACTGAGCCAACACCCAATAGTGTTAATGTATAACTTCAATCGGCTCATGATCTTGTGCAACCTATCTCTAACCGATACGGATTGAACTCCAGTGGTCACCGTTTCTCACTAGAACTCCAGGAAATCATTTTGTGACCAGTCACTGAGGAGTCACATACTAGGACAAAATGGTCATCCAGTGCTACCAGGTTTTCAATGGTGGTCTAAAATCAATCGATTCATGATCTCAAACAATAACACGCTATACCACAAGATCAGTAGTAAAAGAATTAAAATAATATTAGTATTAGTGAAAAGGATTAAAAATCACTCACTAATTAAGTGAATAACACATTGGCATTTAAAGTGAAGGATACTGTATTCGATTCCCAGAGTGAACATTAACATTAAGGTGCAGATGAATCACCCATCCTTAATTCCATAGCTACTCACAATTCAAAGCTGCTAAATCGTAAAATACGGTTCGAATAGAAGGAATAAAGTACTGAGTAATATTGAATCCCATGACTAAATGGAAGATAAAATGTGAACAAATCAGTACTATGGTTGATCCTCAGTGATGTTTCCCAACGTCTACAATCCTTAAACACATCTATCACATGTAAACGAATCAGGTATTCTGCACATACCAACACACTTTAATTCAGCAGTTCATAATTCCATGGGTGAGCGGTTGCCTCTAGCAGTCTATTTCAGTGTACCACTACTCCTTTGAACATTGATCGTCAAGATAACAAGTGATATAGCATACATAATACATATATTTAGTTCACAATTGATTGATCACTGGGTGGTGATCAATGTCATGCGTGTCAAGTCCGTCTTAGTGCTGACAGAATGCTATCGATCAAGTTGCAATTTGGCCACTAGCCTAGGTAACTCGACACTGCGTGCACTATGTTGAGATAAGATGGTGGTCGGAGGTGGTCAACAGGAGACCTTGGACCCGGGTTTCGTGCTACTTAGCACTCGACAGCAAGGTGTGCTTATAATCTTGAGGGAACTGGTGATCCTTGATGGATTCGATCCCGTGTCACCCAGCTTCACAGTTAGAGACGTTACCACTGAGCTATTCAGGCAGTGACCGATCTCCTGTAGGACTGAGGTGTAATCACAATTGATTGATCACTGGGCGGTGATCAATGTCATGAGTATCAAGTCCGTCTTAGTGCTGATCGGATGCTATCGATCAATATATACATATATTTAATTCTCTATGATTCTCAAAGCAATCCCAAGTGATGAATACAACTTATAAATGAGACCAATGTTTACAATATCCACTTAATGAATGATAAAGGGCTAAAACTTTTAGTAAACAATGATTTCCTCATCGATTTAGGGTTAAAAATGGAAACAAGATTACGTAACTGTATTGATCAAACATGATTAATGCTAAAAGTACAGTTCAAATGATGATGTCATGAACTTTTAAAATCACTTTTATCAAAGCATACAGAAACGAACTTTTTGATAACCCTATCAATGACTACATCATTTGAAACATTAAAAGTATAAAGATGAAGGTTAAATGATCACATTATATACCTATAATAATGAGAATACTGCATAGTTTTATTGAAATCATGAACCGATTAATGTTAGATCATCAATGGAAACCTTGAAACACTGAACGGATGTATCGTTCTAGTAGGGGACTTTTCAGCAGTGGGTATTCACGATACCGCATGTGGGATTCGAACACACGTGCGAGCGCCTAATCTCTAGACCACTGAACCGGCATCTGACGCTGTTAATGTCTAATCTTAATTGATTCACGACATCTCATGATCATCTTCTATTGTCTTCGGTAGGTGACTGCTTCATGCCCGATACGATTGAACTCCAGTTGTCACAGCTTCTTACTAGAACTCCGAGAATTACTTCTCAAAACTAGCCACTAATGAACATATGAAAATTTTATATTTGGAGTGGTGGAGATCGTTAAGTTTCATTGAAATCATGAACCGATCAATGTTAGACCACCATTGAAAATCTAGAAACCCTAGATGGCCGTTTCGTCTTAGCTTTAGACTCCTCGGTGGTACGCATCCACGATTCCGCACAAGTGATTCGGTCACAGCATAAGGTTATATATCAAATAATTGTTTCAATTCAGGTGAACAGTGACTATGAAAACTTATTGAATCTATGGTATGAGCTGAGCTTTGATGATTTACAGTTTGATTTAGGAAATCCTCAGAAAATCCATAAAATACTGAAGAAAGATTATAGAAACGACTATTAGAAAGTAGATCGAGAGTCTTACTGGAAATTGTTAAGAAAGGTTCGGATAATACAAAGCTAGGAAGACAATATGTCTAAAGAAAGTACTAAACTTACTTAGTCTCTTGCAATTCTCAATCCTTAGTGCATTGTATGAGTGATTTGTGATAGACGGAAACTGATATAAGATGCAGAACAACAATATACTTAAAGAATCTGGTTTCGAACGATTTCGAAAGATGTTTTGAACAACAGACATAGAAATGAGATAGATGTTTTATCGTTAATTAAAGGTACTGATGAGTTCATAAGTCGATTGAAGCTAGACCATCATGAAAAACTTGGATGCACTGGGCAGCCGTTTCGTCCCATTGTGAGACTCCTTAGCAGTGCGCATCCACGACCCACGATATCAGTTTTTTTTTACAATTCATGGAAAGATCAATATTTTTTTATTTCATACTACGTCACAGTGAATGAATAAGATAAGAAGGGGTTTTTATGGAGATTTTAGTATTTTCATAGTTGAAGGCATGAGTCAATTGAAGCTAGACCATCAAGGAAAACCTGGACAAAAACGATCGTCCAGTGGTTCCAGGTTTTCTTTGATGGTCTAGCTTCAATTGACTCATGCTTTCAACTATGAAATTTAATAAGATATTATGTTATCAACTAGGTAAAACTTACTTGCTACTTCTAATTTCAATGGAATTGATAATGCTTTACCAAATGGATTAATAGCAATACATTGATAAAGTCCAGCTTTCAAATAATTTGATATTTTTTGTACACCAAAATACCATAAACCTGATTCATCTATGGTATATAAAGTATGTGAATCATTTGAATGTAGTTGATACTCAGTATTTCCTTGTTTACTCATTAATGTAATATCAGTTGAATGTGATAGTTCCTGTGATACGGTTGTATTGTATGGCTTTATCCAATAGGCATGCTTTCCATTCAATGTCCAATAATATCTATAAATCATAATACAAATGGGGGAAAAACTAGTTCACTTTTACAGTATAAACATTATGCTGATCGAAACGGAATCACAAGTGAGGACAATTGAATGTATTTGGACACCGAATTACAAGACATCTTAGTAAAATCACAGACTTATTTACCTACGCCTGTTACCCCTCGTTGAGGAGTATAGGCCACTCACTAGCATTCTCTATTCAACCCTGTCCTGGACAATCCTTTCCAGTTCTTTCCAGTTAACATTCATCCTTTTCATACCTGCTTCTATTTCCCGAAGTAATGTGTTCTTTGGCCTTCCTGTTTTCTGTTTCCTTTACAGATTCCAAGTTAGGGTTTACCTCGTGATGCAGTTTGGTGATTTCCGTAATGTACGTCCGATCCACTTCCAACGTCTTTTCCTAATTTCATCTTCAGCTGGAAGCTGGTTCGTTGTCTCCAAAAAACTCTGTTGCTGATAGTATCCGGCCAGTGAATGTTGAGTACTTTGCGTAGACAACCGTTTATAAATACTTGTACCCTTTTGACGATGGATGTAGTAGTTCTCCACGTATCAGCTTCGTACAGTATGACTGTCTTGACGTTCGTATTGAAGAAAAAATAATTAAAACCATCTAAAATCTGAGAATCATACAGTAAATACTTCATTTACATAATCTCAATCAATCGTCTTAAACTTCGTTGTACTCCCGTTTCCACATCAATCATTCTCAGTTCTCGTTCTCTTTTTCTTTGATCGTCTTAACCTTCTACCACCAGGTAGTTCACTTTCGACTTATGGTACATACTACTTATACCTGTGGACATCAGTAGCACTCACCACACTATAAGTCAACATCGAAAAGTTTAAACTGATAAGAATAGGAACTTCTTCTGTTGTTACTCTTGTGAATACTTAATGATTAGAAGGAAGTCACATTATCACCACATTTATTAACCCCGGTGATTATAATAAAAATTTACTGACACCAAAACTGTACATAATAAAACTAGAGTGGCTGAAATGTTTATTTAAATATAAATGTACATCAATACAAGTCTGTTGTTGTATTCTTTCAATAAAAACGATGCATAATATATATGAAGTGGTGGTTACTTTGCCAAAAAAGAAACTATCCTACTGTTGAGATGGAATTTAGGAAAAGATGTTAAGTGTGGATAGGACACCCTTAACAGAAACCAATGAATTGTCTCCCAAGGAAAGCTTTAATTTAGAGTTCTCAAAACAAAGAAGATAAAGTAGATTAAAGAACACATCTCATCAGAAATGATAGACTGACACTAAATATATATGAATAGAAATTGAAAATAACCGGAAATGGAGAGATCAGGACATAATTAATTAGAGATCCTCAGTTAGTTGATTATATCCCTTGAAGCTTAAGTAAGATAGTCAATAATTATATGCAGAATGCTATTTATTTATTTAATCACATGAATATTGATTTTCAATCGTTGAGATCATGAATCAAGATAGACCACCATGGAAAACCTGGAAGCATTGGACGGCCGTTTCGTCCTATCGTGGGATCCCTCATTAGTGTGTATCTACGATCCCGACTAGTGAGATTCCAACCCAGGACCAATCAGTCTCACCTCTACACTACTGAGCTGGCTGGCAATCAACGGTGTTAATATTAGACAGCTTCAAATGACTCATGATCTCAACTATTGAAATTACTGTAATATGCGCAAAACCCTTTCTGACACAGATACTGGTACAAAAAGTCACCAAATAGATATGTGCCACACACTTGATTCGTGTATGGACTATGATACTACCCGAGCGCAAAAACCAAAGTAGATGATTCCCGTAAGGGGCCACACATAAAGCCTTTCACCTGAAGGTCTAATGCACAAGGTAGTTTAGTAACGCTAGGAGATGCATTCCCATGGTAGTCAGTGACCAACAATGGTTTTATATACCGTTTGTTCATTATGGATCCAGAACTTCATGTGCATTATTGGTTTTGAATGAGGGTTTTCCAACTCACCTACATGAATCATCTGTATCCACTAAACCATCTGAAGCAACGGAAATTCACTTTTCCTCCTCTCAATTTCGTAATCAACACCCCCATCTTTAGAAGGTAGTGAGTAGGGCATCACTGACAGTGGTTGTATACACGTGGTCATGTGAGAGCATTTCGAGAGACAGAGAGAGAGAGAGAGGGGACAGACGACTTTCCCAACTCTCGGTGTAACAAATCATCAAACTACATTCTTTTTAATAATGAAATGAGTAAAATCCATATAAAAACTAGATGACATGTACCATCTAAATTTAAATATTCAATAGTTTCTACAACAAGAACAACAAAAGAACAAATTGAACCCATAAAATATTTATTGAAATGATTGGCCGTCTATTCAAATGTATAAACCTTTTTAGATATTTCTAGTTTGTGTCAATTAATCACATAGTGTTACATTTTGCATGTTTAATGAAAGCAAACAGTTTTTAACTTATATCAATGCTAGTTACTGTGGTAGTCAGTTAGTTACTATGGGGTAGAATTACATTGAAATGATCAATATATTTGATACCTTTGTCTTTCATCACAATTAGAAGATATTCATTTAATGAATAGAATAGATTATCATAGTAGTGAATGTTAAACGGCGGCGGATAATACATAAATGACATTTGATCACTATTATGAAAAGACTATGTTTATAGATATGAGACAGAAATTTCGCAGATTACATAATTTATCATATTGAATTCTATATTGTATTGACGTATACATAGTACTGAATAAAACTACTAGTAGTAGTAGTAGTGGTAGTCGTAGTAGTAGTAGTAGTGGTAGTGGTAGTAGTAGTGGTAGTAGTAGTGGTGGTGGTAGTAGTAGTAGCAGGAGGAGGAGCGGAGGAGGAGTAAACGGGCAGAGTATCAAGGGAATAAATTAATAGATAGTTCAGTAAATAGTATAAATCTATTAATGAAATGAAATTAGTTGTTAACAAGAAGAAAAACAATTTTTCTGTTTCATTTGCATGTCAAATTTACTAAAAGATATTATAGAATATCTCACTTTTATAAATTTATTATGTTTAATTTTGCATGTGCCCCCAAATGCCATAGTACGGTCGAGGGTGGGTGAAGTCATCTCTCTCTCTAGAAATACTTTCACATGGACATAAGCATATAGTCACTACGAGAAAAGTCCTATTCTCTACGTTCTCGCGGTGGAAGTGTTAATTACCAAATTTAGAGGGCGAAAAGTGAATTTCCAACGCTTTAACTGGGTTGATAGATATAGAGGATCCATGAAAATGAGTTGGAAAACCCTGATTCAAAACCAATAATGTACATGAACTCCAGGATCCACAGTGAACAAATAGTATATAAAATCATTGTTGGTCACCGGCTACAATGGAATTGTATCTCCTAACGTTACTACACAACCTTGTGGATATGACCTTTAGGTGAAAGGCTGGGTGTTAACACTTCTAGTTTGCCTAACAATAATTGCGTGGTTGATGAAATCAATACACTGTAACCTTCATGAAACCTTACAAATCTTATAAACTGACTTTTATTATCAGAAGATATAAGTCAAAACTGTTCTATCAAAATAAGGAGACCTATGTAAGAAGTTTTGTTCAGATTTTTCAGTGTTTAGTTGATATTCATTTTAGGAAGACGTTTATCAAGGTAATATTATTAAGGAAATAAAATTGGATGACCTATGTTGAAATTGGAAATGTGAACTGTTCCTGACCGTTGGTGCTAGTTTAACGTGGTGGTTGGGCTTGTCCACCGTGATGAAACAACCAGACTATACTGGCTGAGACAATCGTCCCACAAGGTCCTACCATGCCAGACAGGTCGACTGAAGAGTGGCAAGACTAAAAGCAGAAAACTCAAGTTTCAAGAGCGACGTCGTACCGCTGATGGTACAGAGGTGTGACAGCAGTAAGGCGTTTCCCTCAGACAACCAACATAACAGCGATGCTGTCTACCCACAAGGATGGGTGAGGTTAGAAAGATCGACTGTAAATATATCATGCTTCACCTTACCTCATGGATAATAGTTGACACAATATAAAATTTAGGACCAAGAGATACGATCTTGAAATTAGTGAATAGTTTACAACCGACAGAGAAACAAGTTTCTTTTCCAAAAACTTCAAAAAAATATGCTTTCAGTAACTTTAGTATAACAACATTATCGACTACTCACCTACATAGTGGAAATTCTCAATTTCGGCATTTGGTATATAAAGAAGGAACAAATTGAAAGAAGAAATTTCTTTTCAATTAGTTTTTCATTATGGCTCTACACTAATATTTATTTTAATTCATGAGTCAGTAGAAGCTAGAACACCATGGAAAACCTGGAAGCACTGGGCGACTGTTTCGTCCTTTTTATGGGACTCCTCAACAGTGCGCATCCACGATCCCGCCTCGCGAAACTACAACTCAGGACCTCTCAGTCTCGTAAACTTGCACTTAACCTCTAGACTACAGAACCGGTCAGCATCCAAAGGTGTTAATGTCTAACTTCAACCAATCCACGAAATTGAGCGACTCATCCAACATTGACTTCAGTGAGTTACTATCTTATAACAGACCTGGTTGAACTTCACTTGTCACTGTTCGTTAAAACTCCAAGAAATACCTCTTGAAGCCAGTCACTAGTGAGCTTAAAGCCTCTCATGATACTAATATATATGATTTACAATGATAAAATAACATTCTCCGAGTTGCTACGTTACGTAATAATTATCTAACGACATATCGATTATAAACTAACATTAAATAAATGGAAGAAAGAGGATTAATAATAATAAAAGTAACTATTCGAAAATCAAGCAGTTGCTACGTTACATAATATATAAAAAGAGAAGAAAGAACTAACAAAATATTTTCATGAATGGTCAGTAATATAGTATTTATGTCTAACTCCAACCAATCCATGAAGTTGAGCAACCGTTCATCAATTGTCTTTTGTGAGTTCCTATCTCACAACAAACCTGGTTTGAACTC